GTGAACACAGCCCGTTCTGAAACAATGTTAGTTTTAATAGTTTTATTTCTAGATACTGTCAATTGGAACAATTCTTTAGAAGCCTATTGGCAATACAACCACCAACAAACATTTTTTACTAAGTGCTTTAGTAAAACGTCTTCTTTCCCATAGGCCTTCTATTTTAGCTGGTGGATGCTCGTCTTTTGATAAGTGCAAATCACACAGCTCGTTTTCTTCTATGCACACAGCACTCTGTTGTGTATACAGAGTTTTTGGCCCCTGTTTCCCTCCATTTACGAAGGGTGCCATACATCCCTGTTGACAGCCTTTCATATGATAATGAGGATTCTCGGTGTAGATTTTTCCCTTTAGTCCCAGACAGAGACGGGATCGTCCGGGGTTGCGTCACATGTCAACACTTGCATCTCACCAATTTTTTGGCAGGAAAATGGCTAATGCTAATGTTAGTTCAACCAAAATGTATTGGTTTGCAGTAGGGCTCAGCAATTATCTCTGGATAATTTGTCACTCATTTGGGCGAAGTTAAAATTAGAAGTAGCACACTCCCTTATTAAAAATGCCAAAGACAGTCCATTGTATTAAAAATATACATCCAGATATTACAAAATAATAAATAAATAAAAATATATATAATAATAATACAAATAAAAATAAAAAAACAGCTAGTAACATGCACAGGGAATGGTAAGATATCTAGATAATTCCAATTTAAATAAGCCAAAGGAGGTTAAGGATCTTATGTATGTGGGTAACTTATTCCAATCAGATGGAGCCTTGTATGAGAAACAAGGCTCCATCTTGTTCAAGCACAACCCCATCGCTGTACTATGTGTATAATGAAATGCAAAATATGTCCTCCTTTTTCCTTTAAGCAACACGACTAAAACCAAGGTCATCTATGGCGTTTTAGGAAACACTCCATCACAGTGAAACCCAAATAGCTCCGCACAAGTAGAAGGCAAGGTCATTCCACAAAGACCTGTAGACATTAGATAACATGCAGCCAAGAGCAGTTCACTCTCACTACCACTGGTCATATGATTTCCTCTTGTTATAAACAACCCTGCCATGCCTCTGGTTTCTGCTCCATCACCTGATCCATCTTTAGACCCTGTATTCTTCATAAATCTGTCCGGAGGAGACACCCACACAACTATTTATCACCTCCCCTTAGCACCATGCATGTTTGCAAGGAGATGATTTTCACGCAAAGGTTTTCTGCACCAAGTGTAAGGACAAATTGTTCAGACATGACTTGACAGCGGTTAGTTTGGATAGTGTTACACCTGCACAGCATTTAAGAAGCTGAAATAGAATGAGCAAGATGGCATTCATGTAGTACAAATAATATGGCAACAACTCCAACACATTATACTGTTGAAATATATCCATCACAGTCAGGGCTGCACAATTTTGTCAACATTTCTAAACGCGATATTTCTGACCAACATTGGGATGCAATATTCGAAATACTGTAGGTTTAAAAGACTCTTATGGTGCTTTCAGACCGAAAACGCTGAAACGCAGCAGCCCAGCTCACCAGACGCGCATTCTCTAGTTTTCAGACGCAGAGGCTTGCACACTGCCAAACGACGCACGAACACAAGCACGCCCACCTCACTACACTGATACTGAAAAAACTTACCAGGGAGGTTGAGCTGCTGCGCAATGGCCTTCCATGCCGAATCTTTCTTTGCTCTGTCGCTATATTCCGGAATGCAGACTTTCCACAACTCTGGAAAGTTTGTAACAGCGACAATGAGACTATCCACAGCTTGATCCTCCATGTTTAAATGACCGGTTCCTGGCTCTCAATGGGGAAAACATACGCCGTGTAGTGGCGTGATTACGTCAGTGGTGTGCGTGCTCTCTGATTGGTCGCTGCACGAACGTCTCGAGGAAAAGTTGAGCGGAATCCATCTCCTGTGGGCGTTCATTTTCCGCTCCTTCTCCTCCCCTTTGACTTTCCCGCCAAGTCCGTGCGTTTCTACTGGGCGGTCTGTGCGCGTGTGCCGAGAGGTCCGTGCAATGCGACGCTGAAACGCGCCACCCCATTGACTTTGCATTGAACGCAGACGCAACAACTGTCCCGGTCTGAAAGCACCATTACACAATTCCCGGGATGTTTATTCTAACCTTAAGTACAAAAAACAAAGAATAAATAACAAAGAAATGTTACCTAAATAATAATAATAATAATTTTTTGGCTAATTGGCTTTTGTCCCATTTTTGTTTGCAAATAACTTAAATCATCTCAGACTTTGCGATTTGCGAACATGGAAATTGCTATTTCAATTTGACTGGGATTCATTTTGCAGCCAAGTAGCAATGTTCCGGAATTGATGAAATCATAGACATCAGCCCAATCAAACATAATTGAAACAATTATTGTGAGGAATGATATTTACACATCATAAAAAGGTTTAAGTGAATTATGTGACAGTAGTTTGAGTGATGAATTATGGGTTCAACGAGTGATGGCAGCACATAATTCAGGATTAAATGAATGCAATAATTATAATATATTTTCATATTAAACTTTATTACAGACACGAAGTCCAGATAAGAAAGACATAATTGCATAAACATAATATTTTTCAAACTCAAATTATAGATTGAGTGGACACTTAAAAAAAGAAATGCAAGTTAAAGCCAAGGCCTATCCTTTGGCAAATCTTGTGAATGGCAAAGTATTAAACACAAACCATCAAGACAAGTGCTGGAAGACCCGTCGGGGCATGAAAAACCCGGCTTTGACCTAATAAATACTTAATCGCCCTTCATTTTGTTCATTCACCACGGGGAATTAAGTGACACCACGCAAACAAGTTAAACAACAGGAATGGCATCCAAAATATTTGATCCAAAGACTTCAAATCCCAGTTACCATGGAGCTGTCTGGAGCAAATGAGCGGGGAGAACATGACAGCCACCCCCACCAACTCGTATACTATTAAACGCACATCAGCAGTGAAAAGAAGTGGTTCTCTGGCAGCAGCTGTGGAAGGTCAGGGTATTCACACAAAAAAGGGGAAAAAAAATAACTTGAGGGAACCATTTATCCTTTTGAATGCAAACTAATCAAAGGAATAATTAGATATTCACAATTAAAAAAACAGCACAAAAAATAATAATAATTTCTTTTTAAACTGCTACTGACTAGCTTGGACCTTAAAAGGTATATTAGGAGGATTTTCCCAAATTTTAGGAAAGACTGCACTTTTAAAAAAAACTCTCTGGTCATGTTGGCAAGAATGATTGACAATTAGAAGGACCAATAGTCTTGATGATCCACCCAGAAGTAGAAAGTCCCTCTATATACTTTTAATACACTTACAATATGCGATTTGGTTTAGTATATTAGTAGTAATTATCTCCCTAGTGTTCTGAACCAAATCTGATTAATGGAAGCATAATACACCATTTTGATGCTTATAAAATGATTAGACCAAAATCATGCATGCAGCTGTAATCATAACTGTAAAAACAATTAAAATAACAGGAGCGAAACGCAAACCAAGGAAGCCAATATCAGTAACTTTAACTGAAATAGCCAAAACGGAAGTCGAGGATGTAGCATGAGCCAAACAAAATCCTGCTGGAAGCCTGACGAGAGGCCTTCCGCTGGGCTGCAGTCACAGATCAGTCTATTTCGAGCAGTAGTCAACAAGCAGCTACGCACATGGCAGCTCATCTGTTTACTCTGTCAGAGGCATGTTAGACAGCCACTACACTGACTGAACTAACACGGACAATGAAAAGAGAGGGTTTGTAACGCTCAAGCCGCGCACAAAAAATGCTCAATGTTTCCAGCCACACATTTGGTCCCAGTGTATAAATTCCAAAGAAAGGGATGCAAAGCTGTACTATATGGAAGGAAGGGAGGCACCGGTCCAACCATGTCTGATAGAGATTACTTTGACTTTCAATATCGGCTGCTGCAGGAAATACTAAGTCAAGGGACTGAATATACACATTTTTTTCCCTCAAGTGAAATCCAACTTAATATTAACTTATTTCGTCCCTCTACCAATGACAGAGCAACTTTGCATTGAGTGAAATTTAAAAGCCAAATATATTAGATGAATGTCAGCTGCCAAATAAGCCTTATTACATTCATGGAAAGGCTCAGGATGTCAGCATTGCCAATATCATAAAACCAATTCAATCCAATGTTCTCAGATTGGTACAGATATTCTACACCGGTACTGGTATTGGTGCATCCTTACTGTACATTTGACATAGATATGCCATGAAGTCATCTTAAAGAAAATGTGAATTCATTTCTGTGGTGACATTTTTGGACTGACAAAAAAAAAGCCAAAGAAAACTTTCAAGTTAAAATATTGTTACAGTAATATGCTAATAATATATATTATTGCTGTTATGAAATTAAAAACTTACAGAGATGTATTCTGTTGATATCTATTAGATTATCATGTCCTCTTACATATTTTTTGCATTTTGGATGAGGCAATTGTGCAATAAAAAGCTGTGGAAACAATAGAAAGTATTGTGCACTAAGAGAATCCTCTGCACTATGTCAGAATACCACTTACATCTGGAGACATTTAAACACTGGCTACCTTCATGCTTCTATTTTAGTAGCAGTAACTGGCATCATGACACAGATGTTTCACATTGTTTGTGTAAGACTCACATTGAAGACATTATAATAACACAATCATGCAACATTTTTTTTTACATTTTAACACATTTAACCAGCCACCAACATCCATCACTAGAACAGCATAAACTATTCAGAGGAGAGTTAGTTGTTACTGATCTACACCGTGAGTGAGTGAGAAAATTGATGTATGATTAATTGAGTATTAAAATGCCCCTGACATTAGGGGGAAGGAGAGAACCCGCCACCAAGACCACCACCGGTTAGAAAATTGTTTGTGGTAAAGAAAGCAAAACGGTCTGAGGAGTCTCGTCCCATTTGCTTTGCATCCTACAGCCAGCAGTGCAGGGTTGGACCACCACCAGACACACTATGAATGGAGGAGGATGTAGTAATCAAGGAGGAGATTGATTTTAGTGGGTCCAGAGGATATGGGGGGCCACTGTGAAGTCATCCTACCTGGCTGCGCAGAGGAAGAGGACTGCTTCGGAGACTTGATTGTTGCAGATTTAGCCTTTTTGGATGGAGTCACCGGTTTCACCCCAACTTGAGGAGTGTCCAGGACTTTAGTACGGGGCAGAGGAGGGGATGATCCTGCAATGCGCTGCTTCATCTCAGAGGATATCACCCGACCTTTATGCATCCACTCCTGCATCTTGTTCACTGTGACGCCATTGCCCTTGTTGGTGACACAAGTTTGCGCTTGGCCGGAGTTGATTTCTTGCTTGTTGTCCGATTTCAGCGAAGCGTCTGCATTGCTATCAGTGGACCCAGTTAGGCTATTTGTGGACCCACTACTCTCACGCATCTGTGCTGTCTGATCCTCATCCTCATTGGTCTCTCTCTCTGCATCGTAGAACACCTGCCCTTCTGAAATCTCACCTACTCCAGCAGTAACTTTATCCTGTGACACTGTAGCCTCTTCATTACCTTCCTCCTTTTGTGCTCGGCAAACTAAAAGTCCACCTGGATATCTGATAGCTCCGTCACTAGCAGAGCGTTGTAACACCACGGCCCTAGGATCGGAGTTCAAGTTGACCATGCTCTTACTATCACCTCTGCTTTCATGCTTCTTTGCCTGCAGGTTTTCATTCACGCACAGGAGGAGCGAGTCTGTATCCGATACCTGCTGCTGTGGGCTCTGCTCTCCCCCAGAGGACCAAGAATCGCTGTCCATGTTTTTAGCAGAAAGCCTCGAGCAAAGACTGTCCCTAGAATGGCTGCTACAGGAGGACATGACCTGATGTTCTGTCAAGCCATCATTTACTTGCTGGGCATCCATGTTAATGTCATTCATGGCGTTTATAAGGAGGTAATAAGCTTCTTGGAGCTGGTTTCTTAGTCTGTCGGTCTCCTGCATTGCGCTGTCACTAACCTCCCCTGTGTCCTTGACTTTTTCAGACTCACAAGTTGATTTGACACTTTCATAAAAAGGCAAAATCTCGTTGTCATAATAGTCATCATCCTCACTTTCTAACAGTGTCCTCTCAGCACCACACAGGGAAGCCATGTTGAGGTCACAGATTTGTAAGTCTGTGGGGAAAAACGTGGGGCTTTGCAGGGTAGGGGGTGCAGACTCAGGGTCATAACTTTCAATGCTGTGGATTAGGATGTGCTCCTCTGGGTTGGCAGGCGAGGCAACATGAAAGCTTGTGTCCAAAGTGGTGTTGCTGTCAAAAATCAATGAGTTTTGCACAACATCTATGTGCCCAATTCTGCTTTTCCCCTCTTTCCCTGCGTTAGAATGCTGTGTCTGGCATATAACAGGATTGTCCCCAAAGCCAATAGAATCCCCGCTGCCCTGCCTTGACACAAACTGTTTCCCCCAAGCTAGAGTGACTGTTCTTAACTCCTGCTGCCCTACAATACTGTCCATCAACACGTGTGCCCCAGAGACGCTCCTCGCCTCCTGTCCAGACTCCACTTGGGACAACTCCTGTGTTGCAGCCCCTAATACAACTCCCTCTGTCCCCGTGTGGAGCTCGCCTTCCACACTGCAATTCTCGTAAGTACTCATTCTCCCTTCCAGCTTGGAGAATATTGCTCGCTCGCAGTCTACCCAAACTTTTTCGTTACCTTCTCGGCCCCCATACGCAGCTTCGTATCCACCACCAGCGCCGCCGAGCGTAGATCCTTTCTTGGACTTCTTCCCCCGGAGTTTTGCTAGTAAAGTCCTCCGCAGAGGGTCGGCCATTCCTTTCCGATGCCTCTCAAATTAGATCCGCGCGTTTCGGTTCAATAGCGCGCAGGCTCCGTAGAGGAAAGGGACCGCGAGTCGGTGGTGGTCGCTGGCCGCGGTCAAAGCTCGACGCGCGGCCGGACTGCTCTCCATTCTCCGCTGTCACCTCCGTTCTGCCTCTGGGCTCCAGGCTTCACCTCGCTCAGCTCTCCCTCTCTCTCACACACAAACTCCAAACATTGCTCCCTCCTCCTCCTTTTTACGCGTGTTATGGTCCCGCGGGCGCTCCATGGCGCTCTCCCACCTCCCACTCGGCTCTCTTGCGCCTCCTATTGTCAGTCTTGTGTCCATGCAGCAAGTATAACGGATTGACCTTGCTCGATTTACCGTTTTTACCGAGAGATGGAGTTTAAAGCTGGGGTGCTTACCTTTTAAAAAAATCATAGACAATCCATGTTGTCTGTCCCATGTAAAAATGTCTTGGAAAAGTAAAATTAATCGTTAACAAATCAGACCGAAGACGTTGCCTTTCTCTGAATAAGAAGAAGAAAATTGGTTTTGATGAATACACATACGCATACACATATACATCAAGCCATGCAGTGCACTATTACTTCTTTGCAAAGTGGGGTAAGGTGTCTTGCCCAAGGACAAGGACGACATCAGTGGGAGTCGGTGGAGAAGGTCTCACAATTTAGAATTATATGTCACATTTGGCATATAAAGAATCACTCAGGGTGAGCAAAAAGACAGGAAGTGTGCAAACATGTTAAAAAGGTACAAAATATAGTCTCTTTTGTGCAAGACGAACTATGTACAATAGCAGTACACTTTGCAAGAGTCAACATATGGTCTAAGAGCTGCTTGGCTGAGGGTATTCTCTGCTTTACTTTTCTGCCAGAAGCCTAAAATACATGCACGTGCAAACAAGTGATACAGCCAACTGTTTTGAGAGCAAGGCACTTGTTTTATTACCTAGTTTTTTTGTTTTTTTTTGAAAGGCGGTTAAAGCTGGAGCTCCAAACTTTCTAACCACTTACTGTCCATCAAAACATAGAAGTCAAAGTATCCTACATTATACACATCAAACACTTTAAAATTGAATATAATTCTAATAAACAAAAATAATGATAAAAAAGAGAAAATACAAGATCAGATTGTTGATGCCCAAACAGAGTCAGGAGATTTGTGAGGAGGGGCCAGAGCAGGCCACAGCTCATGACCTGTGGAGAATCACTTCAAAAGACTTTGCTCCTGACAGCAGCCTCTGTCTCTTCTGAGCTCTCCCTTTTCTCCCGGCTGCACACACAAACACAGAGCATATAGCCTGCAGGTTTTGACCTGTAAATAAGTGCCAGACAGGGTCTAGTCAGGCAGGCGGGAGGCAGCCGAGGCGTCAGGCCTGCACGACTCCTGCAGGGCGATAACAGATGCTTATCATCCTCTCTGTGGAGCTGAGGAGGAGTGGGGGGTTAGAATGATGGACATGGGGACCTGTCATTGATCTGACGATAACAGCCCTTTTTACAAAGAGACTCTGTCCACTCCAATTGTTACTGTTCAGTTTCATTGTCTCTTTGTGAAAGTTAGACATTATTAAGCCATAATATTTTATTTATTTTCAATTTCTCTTCTGACTGAATGAACAAAACTGAAATATAGTGGTCCATTCCTTTTTGCGCTGCACTATTGCCTTAATTGGGACATAATAGCAAACAGAGACGTGTAATATTTACTAATACAACTTACTATAGTAGTCTGTGGTCTATAATATAGACCACAGACTACTATATAGACTCTATATATAGACTCTATATAGCATGCAACCAGCACTGCATTATGCCCTGCTATATATTACTATACAATACAATACAATACAATTTATTCTTGTATAGCCCTAGGTCACAACAGAAGTCATCTCAGAGGATTTAACAAAACCATTGAAATCACCAACACAGGTCAGAGAATCAACAGTTAAAACACATGGAGAATATAAAGCACACACAGAAGAAAATGTCCATACATGTTGTAGAATGCTAAAGTGTCCTGATCATCACCAATCCTTTCTGTTGGACACTAACTGTCCAACAAGACCCTCCTGCATCGACAAGGAAACCCAGTTAAAAAACCCAGTGGGAAAAAGTGAGAAACCTTGGGGAGAACTAGGGAAACCCACAGGGAGGGAGACCCGTATGAGAAAGGGATCCGCTCCTCCGGACGGACAGGCTAATGATCTAGGACCTAAGCTAGCTACAGAACGTAAAGCTGTATGTATTATAGTAGAATTGATTATTAACAGAAATCAATTCTAGGAACTTTATATGGTCTGTGGTTTGATACAGTCTAAAAATGTTTTCGGTTCAAACGTTGGCCATGTGTTTTAGTAAGTAAGAATTCATTTCAAGCAGCATTGCATAGGACTAACAAGATCCAGACGTTCAAAGCAAATGCTTATTGATCTCCCTCTTTACAATTACACGCACACGCGCACACACACAAACACACACACACACACACACACACACAAAAACAAGCACACACACACACCCTCTCTACAAACACACACACACACTTTTATCAACTGAAATACATATTTCATCTTTTACATTTTCAATTTGATGCACATATGATAAAATAGTGTGCATGATGTGTGAATGTATCGTGTACTGTTCCGGCACCTGCAGCTTTTCAGCAGCTTGTCCTTCAGCACATTCCAGATGGAGGCAATCGCAAACAAATGGCTTAAGGTTCAAGTGGGTTTCATACCTCTCTGTGCACGTAGCCCGGGGTTGTGCCAGGAGCGAAGACTCAAGGTCAAACCGGAGAGGATTATTCATGAAGATACACTTGAGATAACATGTGCCAATCATTTGCAGTCATAATGTACAAAAAAATCACAATATTTGGAGAGGACTTTTAGTGAATCGGCTGCAAAAGGCAAAGCAGATCCTTCAGAGACAAAAACTCCAATGTGAGGAAATGCCTGCACAGCGACAACCTATTTAACCACCTGTACAACCACACAAGAGTTTATTTGCAGAAACAGATAAGTGTCATTAGATATTAAACTTTTTGAAAAGTTTAGAATTTTACCTTTACCAAGCAGCCAGACACAGTATGTGCCCCTCCCGCTTTTGAGCAAATCCTTTCAAATGTACTGTAAGATTGTAGCGAGAGGAAGACAACTTTTTGACAGACTTTCCAAAATGAGACATCTGTTTTTGCAAATGAACTCTTAATTATTTTTTTTACTGTAAAACAATGTTCAAAGACCAGTCACAGAATGTTTTTTTTTTTATAAAACCATTTTGTACATTTATGGATAAGTCAATATGATGAATTGGAAACTGCTTTTGGTTTTGCATTTGGTTACAATAAATTTAAGTAACCCTAACCCTAATAGTTTGCTGTGCTGTTGAAGATCAGGAAACAAATACAGCCTATTTTTAGCCTACGACATTTAGAGTTCACTTTAAATAAACCAAGAGCAAAATTACTTTTTTCAACTACTGGAAGGAAGAGTGTACTGTTCACTTTGGTGGTTTCACATCTCGACAAATGAAGTATTCTTGCCCTAATTGTCAGTTCTGGTTACATTGGGACTCACATGCTAAATCTCTGGCTTAGATAGTGATGGACAGAGACATTCACAAACTACTGTATACGATTGGTTTGAGGAACATTACACTAATTATAATTACAAATAAAACTATGATGAAGTAAGAAGTGCTTACCATTCAGGAAATAGACAGTAACAGATTTTTACAATAGATAAGTCAACAGTGCAGGGATTTTATGTTATCAAAGTAAGTTATAAAGTGGCATGTAATAAACATGCAGGTGTTTATGATCATGGTCATTGATAAGATAACATTTATTCATCCCACAGTGGGTTAATGTGAGTGATTACAGAACAGTTGGAATACAAACAGTAGACCCTACAAAGAATATTGCACCATGAATAAAGGTGCAATATTCATTTACAATATACATAAGTTAACTGTTCCATACAGCAATTGAACAAAATGTTAATTGTTGTTTTCTCATTGTAAGGTGACTGTAGTAGAAAGAAAATAACCTCTCCCCCTCAGTGAGGGTGGATCAGTCTGTCACTGATGCTGCTCTCCAGGGTAGACACTTTTGTCATTTCTGACATACTTGCCCAACCCAAAACTTAATCTATCAATAATCCCAGAATGATAATGTTTCTGCTTCTCAGATCTATGCCTTTGTCAGGCGGTATAGAGCATCTGTGTGTGTGCTCTGAGGGGAGCGCTCCAGACAGGGGGCAGTGCAGCTGTTGCTGAGTCCCATCCTGATGGCTGCCGTATTGTTCTGCCCCTCTGTGTCCCCGACTCCCTCTGTCCTGGCGCTTTATGGTCGGCTCCTTTCTCTTTGGGGCACAGTGTGGATAAATTTATGTCACTGGACACAAGCCTTTCTCAGGGTATAAATTAGACTGAATGACAAGGACTGTTGCTTCAGGGTGACATTTTTTTCGTTCCAGTGTTGAGCTTGCCTGTCTTCCCTGACTCCCTGTCACATATAGGATTGATTTTCAAATTCTAGTGTTTGATCTGATTTGTATAGAACATGTTTAAAAAGTCAATCAAATATTTATATTCAATATAAAGGACACGTGGAGGCACACAGCAGAAACATGCAGAGTAGACCACACGCAAAAACAAACAACTTAGAAATGTGCTATTCAAGTTTGACTGACAAATCCTGTGGTTTTAGCAGCCTGGGAATTCTCATGCTGCTGTATGTGCTTGAATGCTTTCAAACGCACAACAGTGGTTAGGGTTCATTTTTGGGATACATCTCAGTATTCTTCTCCCTTTACTTAGTTAGTTATAGTAACTAACTAACTAAAGGGAGAAGAATAGTTTTTACCAAAAGTCTCATGACTTTGGTCAGTGGAAACTTTAGACCGGCCTGGACATGACCTTTCGGGTGCTGCATCCAAGAACACCTTACCCACCGTGAAGCATGGAGGTGGAAATATTATGGTTTGAGACTGCTTTTCTGCAAAGGTAATAGGACAACTGATCCTTGAAAGGAAAGGGCCGTGCAATGTTTTGGGCAAAAACATTCTTCCATCTGTGACAGTATTGAAGAGGAAACAAATCACAACCATGACGACAATCTCAAATATACCACAATAATTTCAGGAGTGGCTCAGCAAGACGCATTTCAAGTCCAGAGTGGCCTGGCCAATCCAATAGAAAACTTGTGGAGGGAGTTGACAGTCCGTGTCAAAAAAAAAAATCACAGCTCCACTAAAGATCTGCATGGAGGAATGGGCCAAAATTCCTAGCTCTAAAGTGTGGAGTTGAACGATTATTGTTCAGATACCCTTTTTTTTACCATTGTAAAAATAAAAATAAATCATACAATTTTATTTTCTATCACCCACAATTGAAATGTAAAATGAAAATTAAGGACCCCTCTTCATTTCAGAGGGCGAAATTGGCAAATGTCAAATACTACTTTAATGGGACTTTATATTTTGGTTTACATATCTTGCACATGAAACAGAAATCACTGAAGTATCAACACATTTTAAGTCTCTGTTCTCCATGAAATGTTCACTTCAATGTTTTGACCCAAGAAAGTGGAGACAAGGCCAACTATGTGTGAAATGTGCTATTTCACATATTAAAACAAATGGGCAGCAAACCTCAGTTTTCCAAGCAACTACATTTTACAGGAATTCTTCCAGTGTGCATACAGAAGAGTAATTATCAAACCCTGACTGTTTTGAACCCACTGCTCATTTCTCTTTCCACCAAAAAAAAAAAAAAAAAAGTAATTTTCAATATTGTTGATAACATCAGTCTGCCGCTTTTGTGAGGAGCAGATACTTGTCTCAGGCAAGGCCAGGCACATACTAGAGTCGGAATTTTATCAAAAGCGTGTTTACCGCTTTCTCATGTGAACCCATGATGACAGATAAGACAGGAATTTCTCTGATCGCAAGTGTTTCAAAAGTGGAAGTCACATCATAATTGTTAGAAGTTTGTTTTTTCTTTAAATCAGATATTTTACAATACAAAACAAAAAATGATTATTTTATTGCTTTTCCGTCACAGTTTTAGAAATTCATAACAACAACAGGAGATTTGACTGAAACTACAATGAAGGAAAGTTTCAGCATACAGTAGATGTTGAGGGGCAACCATAACCCAATGTTTATTGGTAAATACAACATCTTATTTCAGAAACTGACAGAAAACACGGCATACATACAAGTGTAGCACAGACTCATCAGGAGTCAAAAGTTGCCCAACAGCGACATCTAGTGCTCACATCGTACAGGAAGCTAAACATTTAAAAAGTACGGATAAAAATTATTTAGTGTACAACATATATACACTCAATTATTCTTTTTAATTCAGTGACAAATATTTGTCTGAATAAAGCAAACTATACAAAACACAAATGGCAAATATCAATGAAAACCATCACACTGGTGTCATACTAATGAGTGTTCCACTGCAAAATGTATAGGATTTTGTTCCTTTCACAAAATTGGGGAAATAAAATATGGTTTCTCTCTTATGCATTATACTGAAGCAACAAACACAGTATAGTTAACTTGCCCTTGGTAAAGAGATCTTGGCTTTCACAAAAAGCCAGGCGTAGTTAATTACCCAAAGTTCCAATTAATCAATGTTTTGCCTGAGGATCCTTTTCTCCTCCTCCACAAAAGTCTTGTCTGAAGTAGCTTGACCCATGTCCCTCTTCCTTTTTTCCTTCTGCTGAAACGTCTCAACACGTTTCTTTTTGGATGAAACATCGGACTTCTCTGGATCTTCATCTGGATAAAAAAAGAAAAACACGTTGAAGAGAAACCAACTTGGAAAATAACTTTATTTAAAACAAATGTATTTTAATTGGAAGAAAGAATAGAAACAAAGGCAACAAAACAATATTGTTTGGAAGACTGACCTGGGCAGCCCACGTGTTGGTTACAGTATTATTATGTTTTTTATGTTTCTATTGCACTGAAAAAATACAATGATGATAATGGTTGAAACCAGTGAGATGCTGCATTCGTAAATAGGAGAAGATTAGATGGAGCAAGGAAAACAATTTCAAGGACTTTATTTTTTGTGGTTGGAGGAAACAAGACTGTGACTTTTTAATGTGTAGGTTTTAATTCAATTAAATCAATCACCAAACGTAATGTGCAAAATGTGAGAAAACAAACGTATCTGTGATCTGGCCCCTGACTATACATTACACATCAATAAATGTGACAAATCAATTCATATTGTGTCAAACTCTCAAACTTTATCTTTGCCATTATACGCATGTGCAGAATCTGCAGAATTAATATATATATATATATATATATATATATATATATATTAGATATATTGGCAACATCATTCAGCCAACTACAGCTCCATATGTTCATGTCATACCCCTTTTTAATGCTCTATAACGGAATCCACCTAATGATCTGTATAATAGATAACACATAGACTGAGATTAAAACAAATATTTTCATTTCACTCAATTTTGTTTTTTTACCTGTTTATTTTTATCATAAGGAATTATATGACAGATATTATATTGTATTATGAAAAATTTAGTCTTCTGCTTATTCAACAAGCCAAAAGTCACTACTGAGCAGCTAACAATTTCTAGTTTTGAAAGAAATGTATTGAAAATATAATTAATGATGACATTTTCTATGTTATTGTATGTGTTTTCAATGCTGCCCAAATGAAATGCCCCTGGTGGGATAAATCAAGTAGTCCGAATCTGAATGCATTCATAACAATGCGATCAGAGTCCGAGCAGGAAGAGTCTCTAATCCCACACAGTAGATACATTAAGTTGATGATATTGTAATCCTTAATGCGATAACAGGACTCACCTGAGTCGGACAGCTGCTCCTCTGGAGGCAGGAAGCGTGCTTTGCCAGCATGTGCAGGTGCATCTTCCCCATTGTCCTCATACACGTTTGACCATTTAATGGCCATGTCCATTCCTGGAGGAGGTCCCTTCTTTTTCACTGGCTCTGGTGCAGCAGTGTAGCTCTGTGGAGGTGGGACTGCGTTGGTCTTCCATGGTGTGAACTCTTTAGGGGCCTACAAAGTGCAACAGTATATTATCAAGGGCATGAGCACATCAAAACTGTGAATCCATTTATAAATAGGATACTAACAAACTCATTGTAGTATTTTATTCTTACTCATGATGAAACAACCTCCATTTCCATTTAGATAAATGTTTTCAAATGCATATTTTCGTGCATATATTACCTCTTCAGGCGCTTTGACCACGAGATTATCCCAGTCTATCTCCTTATTCAGTGGGTTGTAAAGAAATGCAGGTCTGGATACAGTCCCGAACAGCTCATCCGGTTTTGGTAAAGGGACACCGCTGGCAGATCTTTTCGTTCCCTGTTGGGACTGAGCAGTACTACTCCCTGAAGCATCTTTATCCGTTTTTTGGCTGGTTTTCTTTAAGCGATCTCCCTTCTCCTCTTCATCTGAGTCGCTCGCGTTACTGCTGTCGCTCAGGTCATCGTAGCTCGAAAAGAACCCCATAGAACTAGACTTCTTTTCTTCAGACATGATTATACCTGTCTCTTTACTCAATACCCAGATTTATCGAACACAGGTGTGTTTAATTCAAGAAATAACTCACGAAAAATGATACTCTACTCCATTTTGAATAAGCCTCCAAAACAGTCGTAAAGTGTTAAGTGGTGTCGTAAACTACAGTCTATAGTCGTAAAGCAGCCACAACGCATATGTTGTTCACGTCTGGGGAAAAATAGATTAACTAATAACATGTATATAAATTATTAAAAGAGGAAAAGAGCTCAAGTATTAAGTGTATAAAATAAAATTCGAAAAAGGCTGACTTCACTCAGAGTCGTGACTTTATTTCTACCGCGAGAGGGCGCTATAGCCACACATCTGATTAAACAAATAGAAAAGGAAAAACTGTAAAATCAAGTGTGATTTAAGTTAACCATGGATCTATGATGATAACAGATTTCACTGGTAAAGCTTTCTTTGACTTCTTTGGCACTTTCACATGTATCTCGTTTTTAACTTTAGGAAACCGCACAATGACTCATCTATGGGGAGGCTGCAATTCAGATTCATGCAGCTAGAATATGGAACAATCTTACTGAAAATGCGAGACAGCCTCTTCTCTGACAATGTTTAGATCCATTTTAAAAGCAGTTCTGTTTAGCTTTGCACACAACTGAGAGATTTTACATTTTTATCTTTCTTTTTAATGTTCTGTGATTTTGGTTGTTAATGCTATCTTGTTTTGTTCAGCACTTTGAGTTGCCTTGTATATGAATTGAGCTATACAAATAAACTTGCCTTGCCTGAAAACATAGGCCGAGCTTTATGGCCATAGGGGCGCCACATGTTTAACATAAACCTGTTGTTGGCGAAAGATTAACTGTTAGCTAGTGGCTGCATATGGTTAGTTTGTTGTAAATTAACCCTTTTCCCTGGACAGTGAAATGTCTTCTGTCTAAAATGCTCATTCCACCGGTGATTGAGAGCACTTAGAGCCCCTATTTTGAGCTGAGTCTTCCAATTCTTTTGCCAGACTTGGAGGGGCCATTATTTGTCCTTGTGCATATGGGTCATACACCTAAAGCCCATTGCATCAGGCATAAATCTAACGTATATACTGCTTGAGGCTCACCTTTTATTGCACTTTCTTTCCACTAATTACTCCTTTTCCCCTTTAGTGCTCAATAATTACAATTCTTTTTACATTTTTTCTTGAGTTGGTTGAGTGATGTTCAAATCCCTTGAAAAACAACATGATAAATGGGTATGTATGTTCCGTTGTCTGCGAAATACAATTGTGAATACAAAATGTTGCTGCATATAGTAAGTACCATTATCAGATTACTAATTGTGTGTTAAATTAACTGATGGATTTTAGTGTGTGCAAATGCCAACTTGTCATACAGCTAATTATTACTATAACATGAGACAAGTATCAATCTAGTGACAACCTACTCTTTACTGTTATAACCAAAGCTCAAGATCGGCTGCTGATTATACATTGAAATGAGTTGAATTATTTATTCCAAACCTGCACAGCACATCTATGACAATCTTCACAGACAAAATAGATACATATTCAAAACATTTACCAAATATTCTATTTCAGGATAAAACACATGCTACTCTGTGGGCTCAAAACAGCAGTTCCAATTGATTGTGGCTGCTGACAGTTTCCAAAAAGCCAATTTGTTTAACCACTCCACTAAAAGCCTGCTCATGATGTGTGAGATTCCCCATTGAGGTGGTAAACCACACCTTCTTACATCTCTGTTTTATCTCTCCATTCATAATCTATTTATTTCATTTAGAGTCAAATCTGGAGAAGACAGCCTGGTATAGCAGTGGGCGGGACTAGAGTCGAGACCAAATGTTTTCATGTCAGAAGCAAATACCAAACATAACCTAGTGTTTTGGGTGTATCATTAGTTTATGTGCAGCTGTCTGGCAGAGTTTAAAAGCACATTTCTTCCTCCTGAGCATAGGTGTTAAGTGTATGAATCCTGTTTGTACTTAAGATAATTGAACCTCAGTCACCACAATATGTGCTCATAAAACACAGACACAAATTCATGTCCGATTCATCCTTGCAGATCGGTTTGGATTCAAGATTTTTTTTCCTTAATGACTCATTTTCTGCATGTGCACAGAACTGTTTCCACATCTAGGTCTTAGACAAACAAGCACTGAATAGGATAAATTAATGCTTAAAGATTATGTTATTACTCTACTCCAGCCATTCCCAAACTCAGTAACACCGAGGCCCCTTAAAAATCTGACGGGTCGCGTGGCCCCCAAAAATAATAACCAAGGACAACATTAAGAATAGGCTCTTCTGGTTATTTTATTTTGGGGAAATAGCCTCTGCTACAAACATTGTAATACAAAAATGATTACAGTGGATTATTCAAGTCAAATAATGACACAAATATTTTAATATTACAAACAAAACAATTATAAATTTAACATTAAATAATTATATATTTTTTTTATGACTCCCGCGGCCCCCCTGCAGTACCCTCGCGGCCCACCAGGGGGCCGCGGACCCCACTTTGGGAGACACTGCTCTACTCTATTCAGCAGTTTTGGCTAAAACCCTTTAAAAAGACAATGTTGATCTGAACGAGAATGTTATAATACTATTTTTACTTACCAGTAAATCCTTTGTCACATTTTGCAATTAATAATTATTTTAATTTAAAGATGCAATACATTCTCAGATGCCTGTTGCATTAATTATGAGAGTTTAAAAAAAAATGTTTTAACTGATAAAGGGTCAATAACCAGATCGTCATACCATGTACCATTTTGTTTTATGTGTTTTATAATGCAACTATGTTATTGTTTTAATTCTTTTCATATTCAATATTCAGTTTCTCGCCCTCATATTTAATATGGCTTTGAGGGTTTATTTAAGGTTAGTAGATTCAGATAGATTGATGTAATTTTTGATACTTTTTGGTGACACTGTACTTCCATATATTACTCAGAACTTGTGGGATTATCACAAAGAGAACAACACTAGTAAGCATTTGTGAGCAGTGGCCCCAGTATCGCTGCTGTTGATCATTCCACTTCTACTTTTGCAATGAGTTACTACTTAAGAAGATATTTGCACCCCCCTGTGGCAGATTTAAACTATGACCTTCTGCAGTGACTGACTTGAAATGGAAGAAGAGCACAGACAGATCTTTTTGCCTGCACTGCAGATTAAATCCCCAAACAAGTTTCAAAAGAACTCATCTTGAATTGGTTTGTTTGAAGACCAAACATTTTCCAAAGAAAGAAAAAAAGATAATGCCTCTTTGAGGGAACCAAATTTATAAGAGTTATTCTAAATCTATATGGCTTCACAAAATTACCATAAAAGTTTTATTTGAAACCACTGTTATTGTTGAATAATACAAAGTAGACTCAACACCTGCAGCCTTTGCTTATGCATGCTCCGGTAGCTTTCCAGCATATTTTGATACATATCTATCATTGCAGCTTTGATCTGTTTTTCCATTACTCTTTCCATTATGCATACAGCCTTCATGATTAAGTGTAAAAGGGGCGAGGTGGAAATAACATGCCCTGACTTACTTTTTTCCTTACTCACAGCTGTTTTTTTTTAAGTTGGAAGCCAAACTGCAACATAAGTGAAAAAAGAATTACATAGAAGGAGGCGTCTTTTCACGTATCCAACTTTATGAGCTATTTGGTAAAATTAACTATTGTTTTTATTTTTTCTAGTATTCATTTAAGTGTCCACTGCTTGTCACTCACACCATTCTCCCCTGTGTGTTCCCAGCGTGGCTTCTTGGCATCTCTTACAATAGCAGAAGGGAGAGGGGCATTCCTGCGTTCATTATACTGTATTAACTGAAAGCTGTGTTTACACCGCTGCCTGTTGAGCTCATGGCTGGAGGCCGGAACGGGTTCCAAGTGTGGCAGAAGAGGAGGAAAGAAAGATCTTCTGGGAAGGTGAGTTGAATGGGTCAAAAAGACATAAAACCCCAGTATGGATAATTAAGGCAGGCAAAACTTTCCAATTTAGAAAAAAGTGAAATATCTAGTTATGAGTATATACAAAAAGGTCATAATTTATAATGCAGTAACTGTAGCAAAACAATTGTCTTCTCATCTTCTCAATACAAGGAGCAAAAAGACGACTGGTATAGGAGGTGATGCCCGTAAATTATATTATAAGAGCATAGTTTACAGTGATCTGAGTATAAATGAAACTGCTGCTGAAACAATCTTGCATGCCGCTCTACTCCTACATTTTCCATTCCTTCTCAAACTGAAACTTCTCACATTTGTGGTGATTGGTACGCCACTTTATCGCTTACTAACTTTCATACGGTGGACATGGGTCAAATCGTCAAGGGTCCAACAATATGGATCTGCAGCGTCAAACCCGTCAACCTGTTCTGAACATATTCATCAGAAAAGCTGTTTGATAATCATTGAGAACCAGTTAAATTGTATTACCACAATCTTAACTGAAATGTTTATTTTATTTAACAATCATGAAGGCGCATAATCCTTCCATTGGCAGGTTACATTCTCTTTCAACAGTCTTATTGCTAACAGGAGTCATTTTGGAAAGAACTTTAAGCCCATGATTGCATTTCAACACAAGTGCATTGCTATTGTTTAGTCCATTTGATGGACCTGGAACTGAACATTGACAACACCAAAGAGCTCATAATGAACTTTCGCAGGAACAAGCAGGGGCACCACCTGCGTGTGAAAGCCAGATCCCGTCAGACGTCTGAAGCTATGTATATAAGTGTCAAACTGTTGATGTGTCCTTGGGCAAGACACGTCCCCTACATTGCCTAGATTAAGTCGTTGGTGTGCGCGAATGGTCGGTGTTGGTCGATGAGGCCGATGGAACATTCTGGTTTCCACGCTCCTGTCAGTCTGTGGCAGCTGTGGCCACAGCAGTGGTTCATCACCACCGTGTATGGAGTGAATGAATAACAAAATGTAAAGCGTCTTCGAGTGCCCAAAAAGCGCCATATAAAACTCATGCATTATTG